GTGTGTGTGTGTGTGTGTGTGTGTGTGTGTGTGTGTGTAGACAGGGTGGTGTCAGTCATGCTGGGGTGAAGGCAGCTGTGTTGCTGATTATGGTGGCACAGGTGGCACTGGTGCCATCGTGGAGGACAGCGTTGGGGCTGGTGCTGGTCTTGTGGGTAGTGAGGACAGCCTTAAGAAGGACAGACGCGGTGGTGACAGCGCCAGTGTGGCAACAGAGTAAGGACACGTGGGAGGCAGCGGCAGCCTCGCTCTCTGCTTCCATCGGGGCGCCCTTGGCTCTGATGGTGACTCTGGCTCGAACCTGGCTGTGACAGGTCGCTCCAGCTGCCCCGCACTCCTCCGGGGTCAGAATGGCACACAGCCCGTCTGGGGCCTCAGGGCTGGCAGACCACAGAGGCTGGGTGACTTGCTCAGGTACGGGACAGCCTGCTGAGTCACGCACCTTCCCAGCGTGTGCTCTGGGCCTCGCCCTGGGCCCGGCTCTGCAGTGGGCCCAGCGACATTGCTGCGCCTCTGCCCTCAGTGATCTTCGTCCACTCAGGGAGGCAGATACCCGAGAGGATGAGGACAACACAGAGCCAAGGGCGGGCAGAGGGTGGTGTCACCCCACTGGCGGGGCTCAGGGCCATCAGAGTGAGGCTTGGAGGTTGCAGATGAGTTCGCTAGTTGCGGGGTGGGGCCGGGACAGGGCGCTCGAGGCAGGAGGCCTGGAAGTTTGAAAAGATTTCAGGGAGCCGAGGCTGGAGCCAGGGCAGAAGAGGCTGCGGAGGACCCTTGGCTGAGGCACAAGTAATTTGGAGGCTGCCCAGTCCTGAAGGGCAGTCTGCCGTCCCCTCCACTCCTGAGCCCCCACCCCGCAACCTCCTCAGAGGCTCAGGCCCACCCCTCCCCCCAAATAACTGGAATTGTTTGAAAATACCCAGCAAGAATTCAGCTCAGCAGGTTATACTGGTCAGGGGAAGCAGCCTCCCTGGCTGGGATAGGGGACTCAGTGGGACTTCCTGGGAGAAGGTGAGAGGGCCTGACCTCGGGGCCCAGCCAGCGCCCCTGTGAGCGCTGATCAGGGGCAGATTACAAGGGAGGCTGGAGCCAACTCAGCTTTGAAAAGGAGCCTGTGGAGTCCAGCTCCCGCTGGCTGAGGTCACTGGGCAGTCTCCATCTGGCCAGGGGCTGCGCGTGGGTGGTGTGTGCGCTGTGCGTGTGCCTGGGGGTACACTGGGGTGCATTTGCACGTGAGTGGGGTATGTGAGTGTCCTGTCTCCATCAGGTGTGCGTGAACATCACCTGGGATCTGTTTCACATCTGTTCCCACGCACATCCCTTTCCCCTTCCTCCCTCCACCCCTCTTCCCAGTGATCGCATTATGTTAATGCTCCTGCCTTTCTTCATTCCAAAAAGAGCTATCGCTGGGCTTGGTGGCTCATGTCTGTAATACCAGCACTCTGGGAGGCTGAGGTGGCCCAACCTGGAAAACTTAGTGATTCAGCAAGACTCTGCTCAGAATAAAAAAATCAGAAAAAGGGCTGGGATGAAGCTCCATGCAAAGGCCCTGGGCAAAAAAAGCTATCAAGAGTCTGCCATGCACCAGGTACTGCTCAAGGCCCTCAGCATGGCAGCAGGCATGTCCTCCTGCAATGAGATGAACAGATCAGTCACCCTTGTGTGGTGACAAGTGCATGGGACAGGGGCTGGGGCCGGGAGGGCTGCTGTGACAGTGCGGGTTGCTGGGAGACTTCTCTGAGAAGACACTGGAGCAGAGACCGGAAGGGTGACAGCCAAGAAGATGAAACTGTGGGGACCGGTGTCCCAGCCTGAGGGCGTAGCAAATGCAAAGCTCTGGGGTCGGGTATTTCAGGTGTTCTAGGAGCATCAGACAGCCCAGCAGGGCTTGGGAGGGAGTGAATGAAGCACAGGAGAAATGTCCGCCAGGACACTGGGCTCCAGCGGGGTCTGGTGTCTGCTCTGAGTGATGGTGGCCGGAGTGGGACAGCCAGGCAGGACTCTGAGCGGGGGGCTGGGGATATAGCTCAGCGGCACAAGTGCCTGCCTGGCAAGTGCAAGGTCCTGAGTTCGATACCCTGAACCTAAAAAAAAAAAAAAAAGGACTGAGCAGGATGATTTGGGAGCAAATATGAGGCAGGAAGCCCAGTGAGGTGGGTGTTGCCAGTGCCCGCGGAGGGCTTTGGGGACAGGGAAGAGAGGTGGGGCAGCCGCCTGAGCTTGACATCGTTGCTGGACATCGAGGCTTCAGTAACCCAAGCCTGGAGCTGGAGACACAGTTTGTTGTCCGTGTGCATGTAGGCAGCATTTAGAACCGCTCTGCACACTGCTCAGGTGTGTTGCTCATGCGTGTGTGGAAGATCTCAGTTGCCAGGAGAGGTGTGGGGGAAGGAGCGAGCTAGGAGCAGTGAGAGGTGACGAGGGGTACGAGGGTGCTGGTGTCACACACACCCGGGTGTGCATTCTGGTGTGCACATGGGCGTGTTCTCTGCTCCAAGCCCACCATGCCCTGTGTGAAGTGACGACATCAGCGTGAGAGCTGTGAACTGGGAACAGACAGGGGCCGGGGTCCCGCCCTTACCCATGTTAACCCTGAGATAGGGCGGGAGGCCTTTTGGCACTTTCCCCTCTGGATGGAGTTCAGGATGCTGGTATTTACTTTGTGCCTGGCTCTTCTACTGTCAACAATGATGCTGAGGCTCAGAGAGGCCAAGAGGCTTGCTCAAGGCCACACAGAGGTGAAGCGGCATTAGAACCAACTGCACATTTCTCCCCTGCTTCAGGCTCCCATGGCACAGGAAGCTGCAGGAGGGTGGAAGGGGCTGGGCTCTCGGGCTGACCTTCACCCTTGTGCCTCTGTGTGGGGACTGTGGCTGGAGGAACGGTGGTTGGTATGGCTGCCTGGCATCTCCATTGTCCCTCTAGTAGGGCCCTGGCCCTCGTTTTAACTAGATTTCCTTAGGACAAAGTTTGGCTTCTAGGAAGAAGTCGAGGGCAGAGGGGCTGCCCCGTGAAGCATAAAGCCGGGCACCGTCCCTCCGAGGTGGCTGCAGTGTGAGCGGGGATGCTGGGGTGGTCATAGCTGGCAGCTGTCCTTGCCGTGTGTGTGCCTGGCTGTGTTTGCACATGTGTGTGCACATATGTGTGTTGTCGGCTGGAAGGGGAAGCCAGGCTGGTATGGTGGAGCCGGAGTCTGGTGTGAGACCTCCCTCTCCCCAACTGTCCCCTTCCTGGCAGAGGGGGCCAGGCCTGGTTGGAGGGAGCCTGGCCAGGTGTGGGGGTCCTGGAGGACCGTGACCCACATCGGGGCTCCCTGGTGCATGGAGAGCAGAGGGAGGCTACCACTGTGATTTACTGGCCCCTTCTTCTGATCTCCTCGCTCCTCTGGAGAGGCACCCTCCTCCGCACTGGGCCTCAGGGACTTCCTGCTAGCTGGGGGCAGCAGATTGGTAAGAAGTGCCAGGATGCAGGAAGTGTCTTCCGAGGCCTTGCTGGGCCCTGTCTCCCTGTCCATGTCACCCTGCGGCCTGGCTTCCCACACCACAGGGGCTGTGGGGTTTCTCTGCTTCCTCGTCTTCTAGGGTCAGTCCCACCATGGCTGTGTCCCTCTCTTTCTGGCCAGACCCCCAGAGTTCCCCTTCCTGCCTCCCTGCCTGGCATCCCTGGATGCTCCAGGTGCCTTAAGGACCAGGTGTTCAACAGTATCAACGTTCCCTCGGCTGCCCAGCGGCTGAGAAGCCTGGCTTGCAGGCAGGATCTGGGTGCGGCCTGTGGGTGGGCACCAGGGGGCAGGGGCTGAGCAAAAGGAGGCTGGGGCTGACAGAGCTGGGCTTGAACCTGGCTCTGCCACTCACCAGGCACGGGCACCGCGGTGAGCGAGCTGCTGGGCTGGGGGTGACCTGCAGACTCAGGCAAGGCAAGGACAGGCGATAAGTTCTACCTTTTATCTCAAGGTCAGGTGCACGGGCAGTGTGGAGGCAGAGGAAGTCGGGCCTGAACGTGGGAGCTGCCAGGCCAGGGGCCACCAGACCTGTGTCCCTGACTGGGATGGTAGCGCTGAGAAGGAGGAACAAGGGGCAGCCTCAGCTGCTGCCTTGGAGACTTGTCTGGGGCCTGGGCAGATGGCATGGCGCCTGCCGGAGTGGGGTGGGCATGGAGCGAGCGTGGGGGTGGTGGGTGCAGCCGTGTATAGGGCACCCGGTCTTCCCACCCTCCGTTCAGCAGCTTCCCGTGCAGTCCTGGTCCCTCTGTTCATCCCCTACCCCGTCTCCTGCTCACGGCCGTCTTGCTCCTCCCAGCTAAGCATCTCCACGTTTAAAGTGGCCAGGCTTCTGCTTGCTGGCTTCTGGGCCTGCTGGAAGGATGAAATGGTGACTGTTTCCGCTCTCTGCTTAGGGCTTAGCTTCCCTTCGCTGTGTCCCTCTGAGCTAGTTGCTGTCCCTGCCGTGCTGCCCTCTGGTTGTTACATCCTTCCTGGTTAATTGCCCAGTGCCCCCCTGGGAACAGATACCCTTGAAGATGGGCTTCCTGCCTGCCCTGTCCTGCGCTGTGTCCCTAGCACTGTCGCATGGGAGGAGCTCAGGACACGGGCGCTGAACGAAAGGCCAGGATAGGCGCAGGGCCCCCCGACCCAAGTCTGACGGGGTGTGGAGCAGAGCATTTGTCCCAGAGCTGCGTAAACAGAGGCTGACACAGCCAGCCCAGAACATGAATTTTGAGCGTTTTACCCGTGCAGGTACATCACCCGTCCCCAACGCCATGTTCTGCTCCCTCCCCGAACATTCCCCTCTGGCCCAGAGGCTCCACTCCACGTGGACGACAGGCCCTCTCCTGCCTGGAATTCCTTCCAGGCCCCGCACTGATCTCTCTCCTGCCTGGTGAGGGTTAGATGGAAGAATGCTGGAGGAATCCACTCAGCAAAGCTTGCTGGGGGTCTCAGGGGGGCTCAGAGCTGGGGCAGAGTAACCAGGATCTGCATTTCTCAGAGGGATGTAATGTACCCCAACTGCCCCCTACAATCACCATCCACCCCCCCCCCCCGAAAGCCAAAACGTGGGGTATGGCGTGATGTCCCGGATGCCAGCCAGGCAGGCTATCTAAAGAGATGCAGTTTTATTTCTCACCACTCGTGTGTAATTGGCCCCTAAATGATTGCTCAGAGCTCAATCAGAGAGAAGTAGCCATTAATTCCTATTATAGTTGCCGGTGAGCAGCAGCAGGTTGCCATTAAGAAATAAGAAAGTGCCAGCCTCCAGCTGCCCATCAATACAATGAGCGCATAATTACATGACGCAGAGCCCTACCAACTCACTCATCACGCTAATAAAATAACCAAGTCCTGAAGTAACACTGGGCCTCATGATTTTGCCAGTTGTTCAGAGCTGGCGACAGTCATCCCAGAACACGCTTGGGAAGCACTTTTTCTGTGCATGCAGAATGGTGGGATGGAAGAGATGGACCTCCTGGACCCCATGGACTTGGACTATTCCCATGGGAGTTAAGAGGGGACAGGGCAGCAAGGACAACTGGAAAGTGTCTTCCCTGGGCAGTGGTGGTCACAGATCAGAACAGGAGAAAAGGCCCTGTGGCAGCACAGACAGAAGAGAGTGAGTACCTCTGGGTGTCTGCACATCACACTGTCTGTCTGAGCCCCAGTTTCCTCATCTGTCAAACGGCAGTCAGAATGCCAGCCCGTAGCCCCTCTGAGAAGGTGAGCATGCATTGGAAAGTCTCCAGCACCACCAATTTCAGATACGTTATTTTAATATATATTCTGCCTGGCTTGAATGGAAATGCATGGCTCACCCTTAGGTGCTGGGCAGAGAAGTGGACACTGACTAAAGAGGCTGTGGTTTTGCTCATGTTAGGAGCAGTGGTTTAGGGTGGAGCACTTGCCTAGCCTAATGCAGGAAGCCCTGACTTCTATCCCCAGCAGAGGGGCGGGTAGGTGGGAGGAGAAACAGCCTTGAAATATTCTTTGAGATGCAGTCAGTTCTTAAGAGTGCTAGATGCTCCCTGTGGGGAACAGAGACTGGTGGACCCCAAAGCCTAAGACCAGCACCTGGTTCCCTTCTAAACCAGCCCTAGGAGGGGCACTCCTTGCAAAGGACAGCCAGAGGTAACGTGGGGTGAATATCCCTGTGATCAATGGTGCCAGAGGCTAAGGGCGTGGGGGCTTCACTTGCATGGAGACCAATTGCAAAGTGATCACTGGCCGTGCAGAGCCTGGGTCTTCCAGGAGGCAGTTGGGGTGGAAGGGAAGATATCCAGGGTCTGGACTCGGCTATGGAGCATGGTCCAGGCTCTTCATCCCTGGACCATCCCCTTCATCTCTTTTTGAGACAGGCCCTCATTATGTTCACCAGACTTGCCTTGAACTCCTGGTCTCAAGCCACACTCCTGCCTCAGCCTTTCCAGCAGCTGTGACTACAGCATGCACCACTGTGCCCAGTAGGAAAAAAAAGATTTTTTTGAGATAGGATCTTGCTAAATTGCCCAAGCTCGGCTCAAACTGTCAGTCCTCCTGCCTCAGCCTCCTAGAGTGCTCGGATTACAGGCAAGCAGGACTCCATCCTTAATAGCCTCCACAGTGACTGCAGGATTTTCCTCCCAAAGCGGAGTCTGAAGCATCACCGACCTCTCCAGCTGGGCTGCAGCATCCTCACAGGCCAGTTCTCGTCCCTTCACCCATTCACTCATTCATGTCCTCACTCCTGTTAGAGGAAAAAAAAAAAAATAGACAAATCAAAGGAGAGTCAATTACCCAAGCCTTACGGAGAAAACCAACCAGGAGCTGAGGTGGCAATCAACAGGGTCTCGGCTTTGGACGAGGCGGCCAAGGAGGTCTTCTGAGGAGGTGGCCATGCGGCAGGACAGCCACACGAAGCGAGGTGAGGGGACCCTGGGCAGAGGGAAGAGCAGGATTTGAGAAGCGATGTCCATGGCTGAAGTGACTGCCTGGTAGAGCAGAGGACAGAGTGGGGAGACTGAGGCTGCGGAAGACTGGGGCCAGACCCGGAGGAGGAGAGGAGCCTGGGGACGCAGCAGTGAACTGAACAGTCTACGCCTCTCCCCACCTTGGGTCCTCAGTACAGGGGGTCAGGTTCCCCCAGAACCTGTGCCTTCGCCCCCAGACCTGCCAGACAGGAGTCTCCCTGTTGCCCCCAGGCCAGGGCCCTGCAGAGCCTGGACGAGGTGCGATGCCCCATGCCAGCTCCAGCTGACCTCCCCAGATCCGTTCCAGGCTGGTTTGGTGATAGCAGCGGCTGGGGTGAGTGGGGAAAGGCTCAGACCCCGCGACAGGGTGAGAACTCATGGACTCCAGGCAAGGGCGCTGGTGGGAAATTGAGAAAGAAATCCCGCCTCAAACCCGCAACCCAAATATTTCATCAACCCCTCCCCCTTTTGTCAAGTAAAGGATACACACGACCTTTCTACTTGTAACCTGGCCAAGAATAATCTGTGGCAGGAAAGTTTGAGCATTTGTCAAAATAAAATAAAAATGTAAAAGAAAAAAATTTGAGAGCATTTGAGTGTACATTGGGGTGAAACTAAACAGAGGGAAAGTTAGTTAGGTGGTAAAATGTCTCCACGTCCCCCGCTACAGCCCCTGCGCTCCGACACGCGGCACCCCTCCCCGAGTGTTGAAATCGAGATTGTTCAGTATTTGTTTTGTTAATCTCCCGCCAGGGCCAGGGGCTGCAGGCTGGGTTTCTTCTTGTTCACACAGGGCTCCGGCTGCCAAACCAGGTCCCCCTCCCCTAGCCCAGGGCCAAGAATCTGTGCACCTGTTCCCTGCCCGGCTGGGAGCTGCGGATTGAAAGACTGCTTCTCTCCTCCCCAGACAGCGTGCCTTTGCCCCACCTGAGACCCCCTCCTCCCCACCTTGAGAGTCCCGGTGTGACCTCCCCTGCAGCCACAGAGGGGCCTGGCTGGGGCCCCTCCAGAATGCTAAGGCCGCACAAGAGTGCCAGGCTCTGGGTAGAGCCCAGTGTAGTGGCTAAGGGAACCAGGTAGAAAAGTCGCTCTGCTCTGGGTTAGAATCCCAGCTCAGCCGTCGGCTGACTCGGGGAGTGAATTTACCTCTCTGTATCTCAGTTTCTCTCCGGGACCGTGGGGGCCGTGCTTGTAGCTGCCGCACAGGATTGTGGGGAGGACTGAAGAGGCTGACACGGGGAGGGACTAGGGCTGTGCCCTGCACACAGTAGCTGCTTACAAGCTGGGTGCTTACTCACTGCCCTTGGGCTTGGAGCAGCATTTTCAAGAGGACGGCGAGTGCTGCTCCATGCCTCAGGTTCCTTCCTTGTAAAAGGGGATAATGGCTCTGCCTACCTCTTCATGTCGTGTGTGAGGATTAAGTGAGTTCCTCAGTCAAACCCACGGCCAGCGTCGGGCACAAGGTAACTGCTCGTTAGCTACTGGCTCAGCGCGACCGCGTGTCTGCTGAGGGGCATCAGGGGCCCTTTTGACGTCACAGAGACAGAAGGAAACAAGTCTCACGGGCGCCTTCCGCAGGCTGTGGGTGCACATTGTCCACACTACCACACGGGGCTCTCCCAGCAGCCCTAGGAGGTGGGCTTATCATTCCCACCAGACGGATAGGGAAACCGAGGCACAGGAAAGTAGGAAAAACCGTGTCCCTTGGCCCTGAGCCCTGGCCACATCTGCCTGTGGGCATGAGTCCCTGGCTAAGAACTCAGGGCCTGGGCCTGGCACGTCACAGACACCCCGCGCACAGCTCCTCGTGTGCCCCCTTTGGCTTATCTTGCCCTTGCCCTTTTCCCTAGAGGAACTGAAAGGCCAGACTCAAGCCCTATTCTTTTTTTTTTTTTTTTTGGTTTTTCTCTGGTACCGGGAACCGAACTCAC